ATAAGAAACAGAGGAAGGCCTCCAGCCAATGGTCAGCAAGGAACTGAGAAACTCGGCTGAGACGTTACTGAAGACATCACTGGAAACTTGTAGGAAGGGGAAGTATGGCATATGATGGCAGAAAGTTTACCAACACTATCATCTTTAGTAATGTGGAAAGGAGGAAATGTGCCTAATCAACTGGGTAACTAATCTAAGGAGATTTCCAAGTAAAGTGTTGAAAGAACTGGCTGGTTTCTTCCTGGTGCTCATAGTAAATTGGGAGAAGAGAGATACAAATTGAAGGAAAGACTATTACACCAAAATGAGACAGGATTTTCAGAAATTCCCAGATAGCAAAACTGCTAAAATTAAGAAATGTCTTCTGAGCAGATCTCAAAACCAGGATACTGCCAGGAAAAACATGCTCTGGAGATAAAGCCAAGGTAATAACTTCTGTTTAAGACCTCAGAAACATCAAAGTTGACTCAAGAGAGTCAGACAAAAGAGATTAAGTTTGGGCCTCACAAATCCTCTCAAATAATGGGGCTTCTAGGAAGCTTACTAGGATTTTAAACTGCTAAAATTCTGTGATGTTAGGCAGCCACAGACAACTAATACAGTTTTTAACGTATTAATCAATTATTTTAAATTCCTCATCAGATCACTCCACCTGCATCTGCTTCTGCTGCTTTATCTCTTTCCAGTATGTTGTGTTCTCTTGCCTTCCATATACCTACAGTTTCATGCATATCTGGATATCTTAGGCAGGACAGCAGAGACTGAGGCAAATCATTCCCACACTTGGTAATGGGCAGACCTTTCCTTTGGCTAGGTTTTTAGTGCAGGGGCTTTATGTAATCACATGTTAGGCAGGTTTCAGGTTTACTGTTGCTATGGTTACCCTCAGTACACCACAGACTTCAAATTCCTCTAGGCATAACCTCCCTTCAGGTGGACCAGATGTTTTCCTCAATGTCTGCTCCACCCTCAGCTTTAGGTCTTCCCTCCTGGAGGGTCTGTTTCTTCTGAGGTTCTCATTAGTATTTAACTGTTACTTTTACTAGGTACTTATTAGCCTGATGGTAGGGGGTCTGGGTTGGAGTGGTGCTCTCTATTATTCTAATTAGGTCGTGCTAAGCAGACTTTGTATGCCTGGGTCTTAGAAATGCTCCAGTCTCTCTTCTATAGTTCTATGACCAGCATGTAACCCTGCCCTCCCCCTAAGTTATTTTCTGCCTACCTCCAGCTTCAGTGGTTTTCACCAGTGCTATATATGAGCTATATTTTATGGAAGCCCTCTTCCTAAACTTATTGGGTTTGCTACACAGAAAAGTTACAGGAGAAGGATCCAGGAAAGATTTTGTGCTCCTTCCATTACAACTGCTGTTCCTCCTCCCATGCCTGCGCGAAGAGGGGTGTTTTATCAGGCCTCTCAACATGTTGGGCCTATAGAGAAAAAGCCTGCAATAGAGTTGAAGCTGCTCTATACTTGCTGCCCTAGGGAGCTTCCTATTCTTACCTGTCCACATCTGGCCTCCACCAATTTGTTACCTACTGCAGTGAAATGTTCTTACCCATTTCTAGCTGTGTCTGCCCCACGTAAGCTAGCGCTCACATCTCAGCTTTCCCTATAGGGACATCTCTTCTGAGATTTCGGGTTAGTTGGTTGCTCTGCATGTGAACTGAGCTCTCTGATTCAAGAAACATCCAGAGCTTGCAGTTTGTTCCATCACCCCTTTTTTTTTCAAAGGACAATATTTTTGTGTCTGTTTATCTCTTCCACAAATGCTTTGAAAAAGTACATCATCATGTAGCAAATATTCAATAATTGTTTTTTGATCAAAACCAGATAATTAATATGGTAAGAATAACCATCTTCAGTTATTAAGTACTAACTTAATAATACTCAAATCTCAATGTCATAATTCAAGCTATAGTTCCAATTTTGAGAAGGCAACCTAAATAATCTTGTAAGAATTTCTAGTAACCTCTGCTCTTCACTCTTCCCTGAGCTCAATGATTCTTCCTTTCTCCTATTGATTTCAGATCTAAGAAATCTGAATCCATCACAACAGGCACATACAAATAAACCATGAAAGAGAATAACCAGTATACATAAAGCCCATGTGTAAAAAAAAAAGAAAACTGCTTGAGAAAAGACTGAAAAGTTACTACATATACTTGCATGTTGCATATACCGACAACTGTGGTCTTTTAACTTTTCATAACCCAAATGTGGCCCAACCATAACCGAGTAGATCAAGCAGCCGTAAGTCTGAGTAGATGCAGCAAGGTCAGAGGAGGCTATCCACGTTCATATGGCACTGCACAGGCTTCCAGAGGCCATGCAGAAGGGGTAAAAAACTGCTATAGAAAAATTAACCTCTTCTTGGAAGTAGTACCTGGTCAGATCTAAGAAAAAGATTGTTGAGCACACGCTAGTCACTCAAAAAATATTCTCTCAATTGTAGTGCTCAGAATCAGCAATCTGAGAATGAAGTTCGGTAAACTAACTGTTCTACAGGGTCAAGATACATAAAGTTCAGAGAATGCCTTTCTACCTAAAGCAATTTAAAATTTCCTTATCCTCTCTTGAAATTTACTTTGTAACCTATTATAAATTGTTTATCAACCCCCTCCAAATTCATAAAGACCCCAAATGGGAAGACAAAAAACTAAGTCACTAAAAAATTAAAGCCTAATTTTCTTACTGTACTGCAATGCACATTTAATTATGTCCCAAAAAGTTATGATTAGTTTAATAAAATAAAAGGCCAGAACAAATATAAAATAATGATGATCTACTCATTTTGCAATGGGAAACTAATGGTGCTACATTTTCTATTTTTCTTCTGAGAAATGTCAAGTTGAAATAGCAAACTGTCCTCTGGGAAAAATCAGAGTATCTGAGCCTAAAAAAGAACTCTGTCCTCGAATGAGTTAGTACACAAGTATTCACTGGGGAACCATGCATTATTTCACAGTGTGGGCTTAGGACATGAAATAGCGCAGGTTTTTTTAGGCTACTTAGAATATGGCTCATATACAACAAAAACTGCAATTGTGGCCAAGATTATTTAAACATTTTTTTTCCTTTAAGGAATAAGCTATGATGCAGTCTGTGCATTAGTCTATGGTACCCCTCCCCATCTTAAAAGATCTCAGTAAAAAGATGCAAGTGCATAAATAAAGAACTGTCACCATCTTTCAGCACAAGCTACAATATTTTGCAGAGCCATTCATTTTTCAAGTCCCCATAAATGACACTACTTTTCCCATCCACGCAAACAATTCATTAATTTTACTGTAAAAGACTTTTTGAGGTCACTTCATTCAACAATCTTGAACAAAAAGAATTTTCTCTATCCTAATACCTCTTAGAAAGATTGATCAATATTCCACTTATCCTTCTGCAAATGTAAATCAATGCTGGACACCTCAGGGAAGTCCCCTCAGTTACTTGAAACCCATATATCAAGTCATCTCTTAATACTCTCTTCTACAAACTAAATAATTCATAATATTCCTAATTTATCTTTTAGTATGTTATCCATTAACCTGTAAATTTTGATTTGTGTATGTATTCTATTATTTTATAAGTGTAGTTAACACAGTGAAAAAGCTTTCTGGTTAAATTATTAAGGAGACACTGAAAGATTAAAAACTCATTATTAGGCGTTTTTATCTATTTGTTTTCTTGCCAAATAGCATAAAATATTGCTTGCTCATGTTCAAGCTAAATTTAACTATAAACCACGCTTTTTTTTTTAATGGACTGGGCCTAACCAGTAAGCCTTTCCCTAAAATGAATTTCTAATTTATTTTTATCCTAGGCATATAATAACCTGTCCGTGTCACTACTGTCTTTTATCCTGTTTGAATGAAACCATTTCCCAACCTCTTATGCCAAGTCTGAATTTTATTTATACCTTCTATTAACATTTATTCTTATTTAGAAACAGCAATAAATCTTACAGGCATCTTTTTTATTCTCTCATAGAGAGCACCAATAAAGACACTGACTAAAGAGGATCTCACAGCTAGGTTCTCAACGGATTCCTCCAAGATACAGGTAAGCCAGTCTTGGAATTTGGACACATACGGTTTTCCCACTTACACCGCTAAAGTCAAGGCCGTGTTTTTATGGAAAAAAAAAAAAAAGGCTGTGCTTTTGAAAGAATGCTTTGCACTTGTGCATAGTAGTTGAAATTCTTAAGTATGCTATACTTGAATATGACGTAGGAATACATGAGATTTTTTAAGTCTTCTGACATTTTCTCATTTGGTTTGGCCTTTATCACAACTAAAACAATCTCCATTCTTTATGTCCAATTTTTACTGAAAAGACATGAATGAAAACAACTTTCAAAACTTCAGCCTCCTAATAATCCTCTATTAGTACTTTTTCATTATTCTCTATTTATTGAAAAGTGTTATTAGTTAAAAAGAAAACAAGGATACATTATTCCCATATACCTATATGTTAACAGTAAATATAGTAATAATGGGGTTTTTTAGCAGTCAAATTTGTACTAATATCAATCTTAGTATGTACTAACACACTGACCCTTTACCAAGAATCTAGCACTTTGCTAGAAAGCAGAAGTTGATTGAAACAAAATCAATATGCTCTAATATTTCAGGTATGCTCTAAGCCTGGCAACTGAAATTATATCACTCAGGACAGCAATGGCAATGCAGGACTATTACTAACTATATGGAGTCAAACTAATTGTAATAGCTTTAGGGACATCTACAGCCATCTACGTGGTTAAAAAGTGTTGTGAGATGATCATAAATTAAGTGTTTAACAATTAAATGATCTCCCAATACAAAAAATAATATTTGAGATAATGAAAACTCTACTTGGCACCACAGAATAGCTTTTTTTTTTGAAAAAAATCTTTGTTCCCGTAAGATCAATGACACAAGGACATCAGAACATATTTGCAATTTTCTATTTTCAAAAAGCTGTTCTTTCTCGTACAGTAATGCATTTCATATAAAGTTTGTCTTACCTGGCCAGTTCTTTAATTAAGTTTGCAATGCGTCTTTTGTCTTCAAGACATAAATCTTTCAATGATGCACTCTTCATTCCTCTCCTGCAGAAATTCTAAAACAAATAAAAAAAAATCCTTCAGATTAACTTTTACTAACAACAATTATTAAGACTTGTCGAGAAAGCTCTTAAAATAAGCACAGGAGGTAAAATTTCTTAGATCTCTTTTATCTGGTAGAACACCATTTACCTGCTTCATTTAAACCTACTGTGAACTCAAAACAGGCTAAGGAACTATCTGTCCACCAGGGGACATCATGAATTTACGCTGAAAAGCACACGGAAAGAACTCAAAGGCAGAAATGTGCCTGCTAAAATATGAGGGAGTATTAAGGAAGCAACCTTCCCTTTGTGAATGTCACAGAAACAAACACCTAATGGAAGATTCTGAGAGTCTGTCCTACACCATAGCCCCCAGGCTGCTTAAAGGCAGACTAAGGTTGGCAGCAGAGGCACCAGTTTCTAAGCTCTCAATATATCCAAAGGTTCATTTCAAAGAGTATTAGAACAGAGAGTAATAATAATGGCTAACATTATATCTAGCGTTATTAGGGCTATCCTAAGAATTTTATACTTATTAATCCATTTTGTTTTCACAGCAATGCTATGAGGTAGGCATTATTCCTATTCTACAGTGAGGTACATATCTTGCCTAGAATTGTAACAACTAAGTAGCAGAATCAAGACTCGAGCATTGGTTCCAAAGTCTGTATTCTTACCTACTGTACTATCCTATCTTTTGTGCTATAAAAGGTTCTCCCAGTACTTAAATATCATTAAGAGGGGTAAAGACCATGAAGCCCAGGGATTCACAAGGGAACTGGAGATAACATGTAAAAGGGAAAACATGTTTCTCTTAAAAAAAGAAAAAAAATAACAACCTTGGCATTTGTGTAACCACAAAGTAGGTTAGTCCAACTACTTCAGGTAGCTAGGAATAATCCAAGACCCCTAAAGTGAATCCTGGAATTACTGATAGCCAAAGATGGAAAAGACAGGGGAGAAAAAGGAGATGGACAAAAGGAGATGGTAAAAAAAAATTAAATGGATTTGATTGTAGATTTTAGGTATGGTTAATTTAAGATGCCAGGAGGACACTCACATAGAAGTGTTTAGGTAAGAAGGTAGAAATGTGGGTCTGACTATCAAGTCAGAGAAAAACACGAAGATTTAAAATGTTATTGTTGATGTTAAGATTTTTATTATTTTCTTTAGACTTTTCTATGTTTTAAAGTTTTCTTTAAAGTTAAAAAATATTAGTTTTTAAAAATCATCTACTAATCCAAGCAAATAAATTAAAATTGGTATTTGAAAAGACAAGAGAAGAATCAGAAGCATACAACATTGTGGGAGAAAAAAGTTTTAAGAAGAATGTGGGGTAAATAGTGCTAATGACCAAAAAAGTTAAACAGAATATAAAAAGAAGTCACTAGATTTGACAATGGTTAAAGGTGCTGAAAACCTGTTAAAAGAAATTTTAGTAGTGGTGTAGTGAATGAACAAGAGAAACCCTTGCACATAGGCAAGAATTTCAGCAGCATTGTGTTTAGGCAAAAACCTGAGAACACAAATGTTTGTCAATCAGAGAGCAGTTGAACTGTGGTGTATTTATACAGTGGAACTCTGCAGCTACTGGTTGTTACCTACAGACATTCTTCTTCAATCCCACCCTTCCAGGCTCTGCTCTGTGATGCTCAGGCTGAGGTTCTGGAAACCTCTCTTCTCTTTCATGGCTCTCTGTTAAACTCTGCCAACAGGAAGAACTAGAGATTTTTAGAGGAAGAAAGGACAGACTCTGTCCTACTTGCTTCCTGTTTCTGTCTGTGTCACTCCTGTCAGAGATCTTCACCCTGGCAAGAACGGCTGATTCCAGTTTGTAATTTTTCCAGCCCTGGCAGAACCAGCCTTTAGATTGTCTCCATCAGGGAGAGCAGGGCCAGTCAGGCTGACTCCCCATCAGAGGTCCAAGTTCCAGCTCTAAGCGGCTCCTCTTCCAAGCTTCTAGGTTTTAATAATTCCAACTTGTTCTGTCTGTTTTCCCAGCCCGAGGATGGTAGTTTTTTCTTGCAGTTATTATCTACAAGAGAACTCAGTGTGCCTTTTTGCTTTCCAGTTCTCTAGCAGCAATTTAACAAGTCGTTACACTGAACAGTCTCAGGTAAAACAACTAACTAAACCCTGACTGAAATATCAGTGAAAAGAAATGAAATATAACTATGTGCAACATAAATTAATCCTGTGAATATAATGTTGAACAAAAAAGCAAATTACACAATATGAGGTCATTTATATAAAGTTCAAAATATATAAAACAAAATATTGTTTAAAAAATAAATACATGTTTAGACTATATAGGATGGGGCGGCCAGCCAAATCTGGCCCAAAGCCTGGTTTTGTTTAAAAAAAAAGTTTATTAAAACATAGCCATGCACATTCATTTACACACTGACATACACATGGCTTGTTCCACACCATTAGTAGTAGAGTTGAGTAACTGAGACAGAGACCATGTGTCTCACAAAGGCTAAATATTTACTCTCTGGCCCTTAACAGAAAAAGGCTTGTCAGCCCCTGATACAGAAAAACAAAAGAATGATAAACACAACATTCAGGATAGAGATTACCAAAGAAGATGAAATAGTAAGGGAAGGACACGGCTGCACAGTCATCCGATTTACAAGAGCAGCACCGCAGTTCAATGGGGGAAAGAAGAGTCTTCTCAGTAAATGGTACTGGGCCAATCGGACTATCAGCACGGAAAAGGAACCATGATCCTGGCTTTAGACCAAACACATATTAATTTCTGATGAATAATGGGTTTAATTGTGAAAAGCAAGACAATGTGGTTTCGAAAAGAGAGAGAGAACCTGCTGCAAGGAGTGTAGTTGGCTAACAGCCTCACCCAGCCACTGTCACACCTTCAGGATCCAATGCACTGTTTATGCCAAGGCCAATGACTGGCAACAGCAGAGATATGGGAACTGGGCCATTTCTGCTTGACATGGCATCCTAAAAGAACAATATTTTGCTCTGGGGGTCCCCGTTAACCAGACAGGCAAAAGACCTCAACTGAATTTCTAGAGATAAAAACTACAGTGTCTTACACGAAAAATACACTGGATAAGATTAGTAGCAAAAGATGAATGCAGAAGATAATTTTCAAATACAGCAATACAAACTATCCACAGACAAGCACAAAACAACAACAAAAAACTGAAAAAAAATAGAGGATCAGAGAGCTGTGGTATAACTTCAAGTGGCCTAATATGTGTATAATTGGAATCCTCCAAAGAGAGGAGAGAGAGGGAGACATAAATTATCTGAAGACATCATGGCTCAAAAATTTCCCAATTTAATGAAAACCAGAAACCCACAGATCCAAAATGCTTAACAAACTCCAACCCAAAGGAAATTTGGAAAACTAGTCCAAAGCATAATATAATCAAACTGCTAAACACTAGTGATAAAAAGAGAATCTTAAAAGTAGCTAGAGTTAAACCTCACACATACTAAATACAGGGGAATAAAAATAAGGATGACAACAGACTTCCAAAAACATCACAGGTGAGGCAACAGCACAGCAGTCATTAAAGCCCTGACAGAAAAAAACTAACAGCTCAGAATTTTATAACTAGTAAAAAAATCTTTCAGAAGTGAAAATGAAATAAAGACTTTTTCAGGCATACAAAAATCAAAGAAAAAAATCATTCCCAACATACCTGTACTACAATGTTAAAGGAAGTCCTTCAAGCAATAGAAAATATCAATGATATCAAATGGGAAACACCAGAAATGGTAACTCTGTGGCTAAATCTGAAAGTCTTTTGTTGCATTTTTAAATCTCTTTAAAAGACAAACTGAAATAAAAGGAAAAAAACTGAAAAGGGAGATGTAAAGCTATCTCTATTCACAGATGGCATGACCTTATCTTTAGAAAATTATAAGGAATTTACCCAAAACTACTAGATTAAAACTAATAAATAAATTAAGAAAGGTT